GCATGCAAGATAATAAATATGTGCTTGTAAGACTTTAGTGTAGTCTTGAAAGTGTAGTCCTGCAAGACTAATAGTGTAGGCATGTGACAACTTCCACTATTAATGCATGGTGAAACATGATGAACTTTGTGCAAGGAAGCGTGCAAGTGTTGTCTTACAAGATTCTTGGTCATGTAGAGTGTAGTCTTGTCATGTAGAGAGTCACATGAGGCATGCAAGACAATGAAGAATGTACTATGACTAAACTATATGTGTATTAATACATTAGAGATATATGTTTTATTATCATATCATTTAGTAACATATCCTTCCAAACACTAAAAATTTCAATTCTTCCAAACATGAGTTTAGTAACATATTTTTTATGGCTCAAACACCACAATACATTATCAGTGCACATCTAAATGGTGAGATTTTTTAATGTAACATAATCGGTTTCAATTTTAGAAATACGGAAGTTACTAGGTTTTTGATTGACAGGAGATCAAACTTTTTACATTTGAATGTGAGATTAGAAAAGAAACTATAATGTGGTCCAGTTGGCCAAATCATCTACTAGAGTCCTGTGTTTTTTGGCGGGTACGCGCAATGCAAATTTTTTCAGTTAAAGATTCGACACGATGAAGATGTGCGTAACATGTTTCTCAATCATGAGTATTTTGGTTTCTCTGATATTTAGCTATATATTACATTACAACAAGAACAATTGTCTCAACAACTTGATTCTTCTCAAGTTTTTTATGAGTCTGATGACGAACAAGCTGAAGTCGATGTCATTGACGAAGAAGAAGAAGAAGTTGAAATCATTGTTGATGAAATGGTAAACAACGAGGAAGACATATTATCAGTCAGTCATGTTTAATGCCTACCTCAACACATGACAAGTCTCAACTTAGGTGAAGATAAACCATCAGCAGATATTTTCTACAATCCATACTTGCAAACAGAAGAAGTATTAAAAGAGGGGGACAATTTTCATACAAAAGAAACTTGTGTCCGAGCTATAAAACAATATCACATGGACTTATCAGCAGATTATAGAGTCGACCAAACAAATCTGACTATGTATATGATCTATTTTCGTAATGAGATAGGGTCAATGGGTCCAGAAGAGAAGTGGTTCATAGAAGATAGGGTCAATGGGTCCAGAGCACACTTGTATAATCACGAATCCAATGCAGGACCATCACAAGCTCAGCTCTCAATTTATATGCAATGAAATTCTGTCATTCATTAGAGACACCCCTTCTTTGAAGGTGAGTACCATAATCTCGCATATAGTTTAAAGATACAACTATACTCCTTCGTACAGGAAAGCATGGATAGCTAGGACTAAGGCGGTTGAAATGTTGTTTGGAAATTAGGAGAAGTCTTACAAAGAACTTCCAAAATACTTGGTGGCACTTAAACAATATGCTCCAGAGACTGTTACCATCTTGGAGACATTGTCGGCGTATACGCCAAACGAGACTTGTGTTAGTGGAAATGGCATTTTCCACAGACTCTTCTGGGAGTTTGAACCATGTATCAAAGGCTTTGCTTACCGTAAACCTATTATTCAAATTGATGGCACATGGTTGTACGAGAAATATAAGGTCACGTTACTCATGGTTGTGGCAAAGGATGGCAACAACAACATTTTTCCAATCGCCTTCACTCTAGTTGAAGGGGAGACTACTGAGGGTTGGAGTTTTTTCCTAAAAAATCTCCGCTTATACGTTTCTCCCCAACCGAACTTATGTTTGATCTCTAATAGACACCCATCAATCGAGAGTGCATATAAGAATCTTGATAACATTTGACAAGATCTTCCCTCAAACCATGTGTATTGCATAAGACACATCGCTCAAAATTTCATGCGGGAGATCAAAGAGAAAATGCTAAGGAAGAAGTTTGTGAACGCAGGGTATGCACTAACAGAGCCCACTTTTAAACACTACCGTGACGAGATCAAACTGACAAATGCATATGCATTAAGATGAATTGACAATATTCAACTAGAGAAATGGACAAGGGCATACGACAATGGGGTGCAATGGGGCTACATGACAACAAACCTCATTGAATCAATGAATTATGTATTCAAGGGAATCTGAAACCTACTAATAATTGCTTTGGTAAAGGCAACATATTTTAGGCTCGGGGCACTCTTTGATACCAGACGTACAAAGTGGGTTCTGTATTACAATCTGGGTAGTTGTACATTAATAGTTCAATGAAATTCATGAAGGACGAAGCTGCCAAAGCCAACACACATGTGGTCACAATCTTTGACCGTAAAAAAGGTTGGTTCAGTGTTGCAGAGTCAATTAATCACAATGAAGAGAGGTCTAGGGGATGTTACCGAGTGGAACTAGATAGGAGTTGGTGTGACTGTGGAAAGTTTCAGGCATTGCGTATGCCTTGCTCCCATGTTATAGCAGGATGTTCGAAGGCTCGCCAGGACCCAATCAACTATCTTTCTGTTGTTCACCAAGTCATTAGTCTATGCAATGTCTACAGCACTAGCTTTCAGGTGGTAGAAAATGAGAACTATTGGTCTCCATACAAAGGTGAAATTGTCTGGCATAATAATTTGATGCGAAGAAAGAAATGGGTCGCCCTAATAGCACGCGTATTCGAACGAAGATGGGTACAGCAAACAAAATGGTCAGATTATGTAGTTCGTGCCGGCAGCCGGGACACAATCGTACAAAATATCCCAATGTAGGATCAAGCACAAGATCATAGTTTCTAATGTAACTTTGTCTCTTTATATCAACAAATTTCATTCCATTGATATCACACCTAAGCGATTACAATTAACAACAACATAACTTAAACAAACATAACTTAATATCTCAACAACAATAATTAACAACATAAACTAATACCAAAATAACAACAACAAACCCAAATAAAACAAATCAATGCATCAACTTGTCTAGGATATTACAACCATCAAAATAATTTTCTTTGGTGTTAACATCATCATAAGGACACCAACATCATTTTTCACTTTTCTCCAATCACGAGTAACTCCATTTCTCCCTGACTCCTCAACTAGTCTCTCAATTTTCCTGATCTTTTCACCTGCAGCAATATCTCTTTCTAGCCAGCGGTTCAGTTCCCTATGCAAATGCTTCAAAGTCTGCGTGTTCCATAGTAGGACCTTCATCGGAGGCTTTGTTGCTGAAAAATCAACTAGGGCTTTTCTTTTTATTAGTGGAAATGTTGGAAGCGGTTCCTCCGATGATGATGACGACGATGAACGTTGATTTAAGAATGCAAACATACTTCTAGATTGATTTGAAAATATTAGTGATAATTGTTGTGAAGAGTTGAAGCTATTGGTGATAATTGTTGTGAAGTAAAAATGAGTGTGCAGTCTTATTTATAGAAAAATGAAATAATATAGTCCCCATATGATATGGCGTATATACCCTTGAAAAATAACCATTCCATTAAACAATTAAAAACACATGATTAAAAAAAATAGATTGCACTGAGGCGCCATATGATATGACGCCGCCTCGGGAGACTAGGGCATGGTACACTGAGGCGTCATTTGAAATGGCATGAAGCTACAATGGCGGCGCCATATAATATGACAAATTGGTTCATTCTTCAATGTTTCAGTCATATCATATGGGGCCTGCATGTTGAATGTAGGTTATATTGGTAAATTTTTTAAAATACAAGTTAATAACGTATTTTTTTTAATATATGTTATTTTTTAAAAAATTCGACTAAATATAGATTTTTTTTCCGAAGTTTGTATGAAAATTAATTATAATAAATTATAAAAAAATAAATAGAGATTGTATTTAATAATTACTCAACCATTATAAATATTATATGAGTTCATATTTAATTACGGTGTAAACCGTCACTAATTTTATATCCTATGTGCTAACCTATACACCGTGACTAATTTTACATCCTATATGATAACCTATTTTATATTAATTTTATATCCTACGCGGTCTATGCGATAATCCATTTTATAATTCATTTTATACGTTCTCAAATAATCAATTTTATACGTTCTCAAACAATAATTTTATATCCTAGGCAGTCTATGCGATATTCCATTTTATACTTTCTCAAAAACAGCACTATCAACCTCTATAGTCCATTTTAACCTAACCCAACAAAAATATATGTTGTAAAAAAATATTGACCATTCCTTTGTTAGATAGTCTCATGTTTTGAATTAAAGGCTGCATAAGGAGAAAAACTAGAAGTAGTCTTCGTGTTTTATTAAGAGAATAAACAATTACCCAAATTTGACCATTCCTTTGTTAGATATAATCCCGTGTTTTGAATCTAAGGTTGCATGCAGAGAAAAATCTAAAGTACGCTTCATGATTACTATTAATTAGGCAAAGATTCACAATAAATCTAAAGTACTCTATTTAAAATTATTTATATGATCTAGATACAGTTATCTCAAAATAAATTTATTAAAAAAAAGTAAAAACTCAGAATGAATACTCTCTTCAGTTTTATAAAAAAGAACAAAAATAAAAAATTTTAATAATCAATGTATTTATATAGTTCAGATTTGTTGAAATCAACGAATTTTGAAAAATAAACTTTTTTTCTAATAAAAAATAAAGAAAATTCATTATATTATGTCATGATTAATACCAGTAGTTTACATGTTCTTCGTTATCGGACAATATTAAACTGTCAAATCACAAAATACTCCAAAGAAGAAAAGAAAATCAACTCGGCCGGAAAAAGAATATGAAGTTGAATTGTTTATTCTTAACACACCAAAAATCAAGGAGTTGAATGGTTTATTCCAAACACAGAAAATAAACTACAGAAATCCAACATTAAGAAGTCGAAATTGCAAACAAAGGCACATAAGACCCTGTTCTGCTTCTTCATACATCCTTTGCTAAACCAAAAAAAAAAAAAGAAATAGAATGATAAAAAAAAAGACCACCTTGACAACAACCAACAACATCATAATGAAAAGGGAATACTAGAAAAGTCGAAACTCAAGCACATCAATAAGGCCAATTCTCATCTTCTCCAGCAACAGAAGTGGCAACAGAAACAGTATCTGCACTGAAATCATCACCAGAACAGTAGTAAAAACCATCATTGTTGGTGAGAGCATTCAAGCAACAGGTTGTGGATGAAACCAGATAAGGCATGTTATCAAAGGATTGAGCTAAACTATTTGCCAGCCCCCCTGCACTCACCACACTGTCATCATCATGCTGCCCACAAAACTCAAGTGCCCGGTGCTTAAGCGTCTCAAACATGAGCTGCGGCTCGTGCTGCATCACTCGAAGGACATCTGCACAGGACGATCCAGCAACTGCCCGCGTAACAGCAAAACCGTGTGGACCTTCGCTCTGTAAAACCCTAACTACACTAGGGCCACCAAACAGGTTGTGCAACCCACCAAGTGCCTCCTCATAAGACCCGCCCAAGAACATTCCTAGATAGTATCCTCCGCCGTGTCCTTCCAATTCATGAAGCGGCAAGCTTGACTCACCACCGATGAACTTGTCAATCTTGCCATCACTGTCACAAGTCAGGTCAGATAAAATACCCCTAGCAGTTGGTTTCTCATCCAAACGATGAATAGGGACAATGGGAAACAACTGATTTATGCCCCAAAAATCAGGAATGGATGTGAACACAGAAAGATTCACATGGTACTTCTTAACTGGATCCTTTGCCCCGATTGTCTCCGTAATCAAATCACATAGAGCATCCACTGCAGCAAGCTGCTCAATCCCTAAAGTCCCTTGCTTGAATTGGTCAACACAGCTTTTCTTGAATTGTTCAGTGTAGAGCAAGCATGCTTCATATTCACCCCGGAGGGTAGCAGCAGAAATGTTCTGATAATCGGCAAGTGCTTCTTCAGAGAGCCCTTCACCTAAATACTGTAATCCAATGGAGGACAAGGAAGGAGCGGTGTTTGTACTTGCACCACTAGCCTCAAAAATCAAAATGGAATGATGAGACACAATGGCCCTACCACTCTCACTGCAAATCACAGGATGCTTCACGTTCCTACGATCACACACATACTTCACAGCATGAACAACAGCAGCAGCATACTCTTCTAAACCATAAGCAACAGATACATCAGAATCACCAGTCTTTGAACCATCGTAGTCTATTCCCAAACCACCCCCGATATCCAAAACTTTCATCTGGGCACCCAATCGAAGCAATTCACAGTAGATCTGTGAAGCTTCTCTAACACCATCAGCAACCAACTCAGCTGTGGGAATTTGAGAGCCAATATGAAAATGCAACAATTGGAGACAATCAAGCATATCTAACTGTTCAAGCTTCTTCACCACATGCAAAATCTGAATTGTTGTCAAACCAAATTTACCTTTATCACCAGAAGTTGCACCAAAATGGCCAGAATGTTTGGTCTTCAACTTCGCACGAACGCCAATCACAGGACGAATGCAGAGCTTCTTGCTGATCTCAACCACCATATCAAGCTCTTCCTGTTGCTCAAGAACAATAACAGTGTTCAAAGCCAGCTTCCTCGCAATCAAAGCCAGAGAGATATACTCGGTGTCTTTGAAACCATTGCAAACCAGAAAGGCATCTCTGTTGCCTTTACACAAACAGCTCATAGCCAGAAGCAATTCAGGTTTCGACCCAGCTTCTAACCCGAACCGAAAAGCTGACCCAAAATCAACAATGTCCTCCACAATATACCTATCCTGGTTACACTTCACAGGATAAACACCTTGGTAATGAGATTCATACCCCTGCGACTGAATAGCACCGTCAAAAGCAGCATGAATTGACTCAAGGCGATCCTTCAAAATATCAGGAAACCGAATAACAAGAGGCAGCTGTAACCCGAGTCCGCCACAGCATTTCGGATCGGAGGCTTTCTTCACAACCTTGAGCAAATCAATCTCCTGGTGAGACATCGTCGCCGCGCCATGAGGCCTAACGGAGATGTCACCAGCATCGTTAACCCCAAAATAAGGAAAGCCCCAGCCATCAATTCTGAACAGTTTGCTGGAAAGTGACGGAGACCAATTGGCAGCGGAATCCTCAACGGCCACATCCTCAACGGCGGTGGCGGCATCGGCATCGTCGGTTATTGTCGCCGCAGCCGAAAATGTGAACGGCAGCGGAAGAGTGAAATCTCCGGCGAGAGCGTATCCGGGAGGAGGAAGGACTGCAGTAGCAGCATCCACAAAACAAGCTAAAGCCGGCATATCTAAAAATTAGGTTAAAAAATTTAGGGTTTGTTTGAATGACGAAAATTAATTAGGTTTGTGAAGTGGGGGCTTTAAAACCCGCCGAGGCAAAAGCCCCGGCTACCCCCCCAAAAGAAGACAGTGAGAAACCGAATCAAAAAAGGAGAACTTCCCCTCGAAACTCTCTATAACAAAATCAATCCCAACAACTATCGCTCAGAAGAAAGATAAAGCTAAGGAGGTTACGAACACGGGAATGGAACGGAACGGAAGGAAAACGAGGTGAGGGAAATATTCAAGCACGTAAGGGGAAGCAAAGCATGCGGATCTAGTGAAAATTATAATGAGGTAGAAATTGGGTTTGTTTTTGAGGTAGAGAAACGGTTATAGAGAGAGAATTATGGTGAGGTGAGAGAGGGATTTCGAATGAGTCAAGTGGAATGGGTAAAATAGGAGAAAGATGTGGAGAGAAAAATGGGATAGGTGCTTTGTGGTTATATTAGCTTGAAAGAGGGACAGAGAACAGAAGACGTGTTTATGAGAGGTGGAAGTGAGCGAAGATTGCATGGCAGGAGAGGGGAATTTATATAGGATTTAGTAGGAAGGTGGTGCAATTGGGCCTCTTAACAATTGGACTCCGAATATGTCTCATGGGCCCACTTTTTTTAAAAAGTGTTATTTTATTATTAGGTAAATTAGAATAATATTTTTTAAACATTATTAAATTGGCTTCTCAGTTTTAAAATATTATTCTTTCGGATGTGAAAAATGAGCTTTTATTCTTTTGTCTTTTGATTTTGATCATTTTTTGACTAAAATTTAGTAAATTGAATATATTAATAAAAGATTAAAAAATATGGTTTGTGATAGATTGAGTCACGAGAATCTCTTTCAATTAAAGTTTTAAATTTGAATTTTATTACCTGTTTGATTAATTTATATAGAAGTTTGTCGAAAGAGTATTAGGAATATTCGTTTTCCAACACTCTTTTAAAAATTTAAATTTTTATTAAATAAAACACATATATACTTTTTAACTTTAAAAATAAATTTTATATAAAATGATAGAACTCACATGTGTTGTATTCAATTAAAAGGCGAATGTTAGACTGAATATTAAAAATATAATATTGTTCATGTTTTAAATAGATTTTGTCTGTCTGATTAATTTATACAGAAGTTTGCTGAAAGAGTATTAGAAATATTCATTTTTCAACACTCTTTTAAAAATTTAAATTTTTATTAAATAAAACACATATATCCTTTTTACCTTTAAAATAAATTTTATATAAAATGATAGAACTCACACGTGTTATATCCAATTAAAAGGCGAATGTTAGAGAGAATATTGAAAATATAATATTGTTCATGTTTTAAATAGATTTTGTTAATGAAAGGTGAAATTGATTTTTTTATATATATTTAAATATTCAATTTCAAAAAATATATTTAAAAAAATAAATACTTTATATTATTAGCTTAAAGTAGTTTTTTATTAGCTTTTATTTATGCTGGTCTTATATTTACATTTATAAAATTCAATTTTTCATAAAAGTTTTAAAGTTAGAATTTTAATTATGATTTAGAGCAACTTTTTCTCTAGAAAGTTTTGTGGTTGAATTTTTAATTAGATGTTGCAAATTCCAATATAAGCTCTTACATTTAATACTTTTGTTTACAACACTTAATTAATGAATAGTTAAATACTATGTAACCGACGGATTAGTAAATTATTAAAAACAAGAAGAAAAAAAAAACATTTTGATAATAACACGTTGATTCAGTGAACATCTTCGCTTTCAGTGACAACTAATCAGCGTCGAGTAGCCGCGTGGCTTCTATTATGGGAGAGATCTCTTTCTTAATCATGAATAGTAAAAAAAAATTATATTGCTATAATTGTTTTCCTCTATTTTTTACTGAAAAATAATGCGATAACTTTACACACCATACTGTCTAAGATAAGGAGGAAACCAGCAGGAAGTTTCCCTCCCTTATGGCATGTGTTTTTTCTTTTTAAGGTGTCATTGCTTACCACCAATTTTTATTTTATACTTGAATATTTTTTTTATTTAAAATTCTTAATTTTATTTTATGTTTATGATAATAGTAATGAATAGGGGTGAGCAAGGGACGGGTTGGAATGGGTTATGACTAATTCTAACCATGTCCTAAATTTTGATCGGGTTATTTTGATGATCCGAACCCGTACTTAAATCCGTAAAAAACCCGATAACGTATAAGTTAGTTTAGACCGAGTTAATGTAAGACGATATCGGGTTGACCAGAAATATATAGAGAAAAAATTTTAGCGACTTAAAAAGTTTATTATAGTATTTAAAAAAATTCATTTAAATAAGAAATATGAATAAAATTATTAACATGAATGAAAAACAATGAATACATTTAAAGTCAATTTTTAAAAATAAAAAATATGATTAATTCTATATATGTCATCACCTTTTTATTTTCCCTAAAACATAGTAAGAAGATGTAAAATAAAAAACATGATGTAAGAGAACTAGAAAAGTAGTAGGAAGATGTGTACTTAGTATTTACTTAGTGCATATATTAAATTAGGAGATGGAAAGTGAAATAGTCTATTGTTAATTTGGAATAATATAAATATATTAATAAATTAAATAAATAAATAGTATCACATGTGCATTAATATTAGGACGGATTGGGTAATCCGAGGGTCAATCCGAACCCGTCTCACTTGATACTGGGTTCATGTTTGGACTTTTCCCATTATTTTACATGAGACGGAAAAAAGACTAACCCGAAACTATTGAATTAGGACGGATCTTCGGGTTGGATTGGGTTCTACGCACTCCTAGTAATGAATAGAATAATGTGTATTTGATTCAGTTAATTTATCGAAATTATTATTCTCTTTATATGCACCTTCCTTGTTTTATTATATATTTGTTCTAGAGCACTTATTTAATGGATCGTTTAACATGTAACCGATGAAGTACTATTAAACTAGTAAGAAACAATAAATACATTTATTATTTATTATAATATATATATATATATATATATATATATATATATATATATATATATATATATATATATATATATATATATATATATATATATATATATATATATATATATATATATATATATATATATATATATATATATATATATATATATATATATATATATATATATATATATATATATATATATATATATATATATATATATATATATATATATATATATATATATATATATATGCGTTTTTGCTTTTGGTGACAACTAATCAGCGTCGAGTAGCCGCGTGGCTTCTATTATGAGATGGATCCTTTTCTTCAATCATCAATATTAGTAAAAAGATATATGTATATATTTTGCTATAATTGTTTTTCTTGTATTTATGGCTGAAAAATGATGCAATAACTTTAGAGCCCACACAATCAAGGTATGGAGGAAATCTTTGATTTTTCTTTCTAAGGTGTCACTGCTTTGCTAGGGTGGAACAATTAAATAAAGATGTTGGTTTTTTCTTTTTATTTGTTGTCTATGTAAACATTTTTGAAGTTTTATTAATTACAAATCCAATTTTATAAATTTTAGATAAACATCATTTTTTTAAAAGAATGGTAAACATCATTTTTTTTAAAGAATGGTAAACATCATTTTTTTAAAGAATGGTAAATATCATTTTTGCCTTAGAAAAATATAAGAAAATATAAAATAAAAATTAAAAATAAAAAAAATAAAAAACTTTAATTAAAATTCACATGTAATTAAAAAATAAATTAAAATTAAAATAAAATGACACATCATCGTTGTTAAATGACGCATGTCTCCGTTTGTGACACATAAACGTTTTTGAAAAGAAAATTTTGAAAAAATTAACGATGCAAACGTTACTTAACATTAAAGACTAAATTGTTACAAAAAAAAATTTTAAGAACTAACTTGTTATTTTAAAATAATTTAAAAGACTTAACAGTATTTTTGAAAAAAAATAATCACAATGTTATTAGTAATATAAAAGAGAGAATATAGTTAGAAGGAGGAGGTATTATTTTTAAATTAAAAATTAAAAAAAAACATAATATAAATTGAATATTAAATTATTATTTTTATTAATTATAAAAAAATAAATTAATCGCTCATTTTAAGTATTATTCTGTGTATGATTTTTCAATATGTATATATGATTTTATATATTATTTTGTATTGTCCAAAAAAGTATAGGGTGTGTGTTTTCATCATATAAGGGTATGAAGACTCTATGATCCTAGTACATATACTACACGAATAAGGTGAGGGCTGACTCATGGTTGCGAGTAGTCATGTACGGTGGTTTTTGAGACTACTCTATGATCCTAGTACATATACTACACGAATAGGGTGAGGGTTGGCTCATGGTTGCGAGTAATCATGTACAGTGGTTTTTGAGATTGTTTAAGGGACCAGGTCACGTGAGGTGAAAGGCCCTGCTACTACTGGCAGTCGGCGTTGTTAGGTTGCAGGAGGACAATTAGATTATCGATGTTAGAATTACAAAGAACGAAGTTTCTACTGAACATTGTTGGGTGGTATTGAGTGAATATGACTTGATCCCCTTCTCCCCTTAAAGAGATGTATTTTTATCTGTTCTTCTGGGCCTAGGTTGTAAAGTTAGTGAGCAGTTATGCTCCACCTTCATGACCAAGGAAGTGGTCAAAGGAAGACTCGGTCTTCCTAGAATCATGGAGGAAGTGGCTCCACCTTCCGGCCAACACTCTTTAGTTAGTCATTGTGGGCCCCTGTTATCACTCATGTCTACTGGGCAATTATGATAATTGAACCCAATTAGGCAAGTTGTATTGTCAAATCTTGGCGAACTCTTGGCCCATTTTAGGCGGTCAGTGGCTTCGTTGGACGCCTCTAGGCGCCTCGTCTCACGCCCCGTTAATGACCTTCCTCGTAAGCTAACCCTCTTTAGGGGCTTAGTAAGAATATAGCATTGCACAGCCCCTTAAGTACGGGGGCTTGGTAAAGGACAA